GTTCGACCGGATGGCACGAAAAAATTCACTTAAGTATGCTTAGGATTAGTTTTGAAGGCTGGCTTTCTCAGTCAGGCGCCTTTTCAAAGAGGACGCATTTTCAGCTTGCAGAGTAAATGTATGTGAACTTAAGCGTGTTGAGCAGTCCTGTTCTTGCCTTTCTGATATACATTAGGCACACACGCGGTGTCCATTTTGATATGGTTCGTGAGGGCTCTTAGTTTGCAACCCAGCCAAGTTCCAAGCTTGCGCTCACAATGCAGCGCGAGCCTGCCGGCGCGTAGAAATCTGCGCGGGAAGAGCTGCAAGAGCCGATTGCCCAGCAAGGTGCTGGTTGCCCAGCCACGCAAGATTTGTTGCACACAAGTGCAATGCAGGTTTGCCATTGGTGCCCATATTGGCGCTTCGCATGGGTCCCAAAAGAAGCCTTCCTTGCAACTATAACCTTGTTACTGTCACCTGGCAGGCCTGGCAGGCTGTTTGCACGAGGTTCTTGCAGTTGGACCGTGCAGCCATGAAGCGAGAGTGAAACCAAAGCCTCTCAGACTCGGAACCTGCAGCAGAATGTATCGCTCATTGCCCTGCAAGTGGCACTGGTTAGCTCAATCGTGTTGATTGGTTGTTGTTGGCTTTGTTGCATCTGCAGTACTTCCCGTGGAAGACCAACTTTGTAACTTGGATCCCTTCAGCGGCGGATACTTCTGATATCCACCTGCGTGATACTTTGGGGTGACTCTGGATCAGGAATGGGCCATCCCAAGAGAACACGAGCCTTGCCGTCCCCAACAAATGCTTCACATTTCTTGAATGGGTGTTTGCTTGAACGATCTGAATATGGCCAGTGCGGGAGCACTTGAACCTATCAATGGCCTTCACAAGGTCCAAGAAGCGGATATTGCTCCTCCACTTTCCTGTCAAGCTGCTCAAGCAGGGGAGAGGGGCCTGGTCACTACTCAAGTTTCCGGGGCTGGGCTGCGTCCCAAACATAGCGCAACAGGGAAGCCGCAAAATGGAGCTGCGTGCTGCTAAGTGCTTGATCAACGGCTGCGCGTCTCAGTCCTGCATGGTGTGTTTTGGAAAGTATTCCCTTTCGCAAGAAGCTTATTGTAGCTGTGGAGTCACTTTTCTTGTTTGTTCCCGCACAGAGCTCAAACGGCCAATACCGTGGTTCATGTAGAAAGCTTCTACTCAAACAGACCTAAGAGCAGCAAAAAGCTCAGCTGAACACCACCACTCAGATGAAGGGGCTTCCAAGCTGAAAAGCAAACGGCTGAGAACAAAACCAAGGACTGGACGCTGGGGCCCGTGCTTTGTTCCATTGTCTTGCAGCAGCTTTGTTGTTTGCCGACCTGGTGGAGATGTTGGAGCAGCCGAATCAAGCTTTTTGGAAGTTCACAGGTGCGGATCGAGCGGGAGGCGGTAAGATATGACTTGTCCGCCACTCTCTTGGATTGGACTACCCCTCCGCAACAATCATGTGCGCTTCCAAAAAAAAAACACGCTTAATCACCCTGCCCCAGACCAGGGTCGGTCCTTCCAACCCATTCCCCCAGCCCATCGCACATGGCACCAAGGGCAAGCCACTCAGCGACGAGGAGTCCATGAAGGCGGGGAAGTCTTGTCAGCTCGTGCTCATCGGAAAGATTCCGGTCGCAAGCTTCCTGTTGCTTACCCCGGTTGCCGCAAGTTTGAACCTATTTCTTAGGTTAGGCCCTGGCCGTGGCAGTGAACGTGCCGCAAGGCTGAATCCTTCCGTGGTGTTGAATGCTCGCTCCCATGGATCTAATCAATTAGGGGCCCACTTCGGTCAATTTTGACCTCGCCCGTCAGGTAAGGAAGAGCACACAAACCGCGATTGTTGGCCGCGTCTGACAACTAACCAGGTGTTGCTGGAAACTCAAATGGTTGTTCAGTAATATGGACCTGGATACGCGGTACCGTTGTTTAGTTCCAATCTGTGAGAGTCTTATTTCATGAAGACGATAAAAGCCTGCCAGAACTCTCCTGAGTTTCTTTTTGCGTTCTTTGCACTGCGCCTACAGTTTTGGTGCTCACCTCCTTTGGTGAGGGCCTCTACCTTTCCACTTGGACATTATGAGTTAGAGTCTTGTTTTATCCTGATTTTTTGTTGCTTGACATCCAAGCAGCAACCCAGATTGCTTGACTGCGGCGGCGCTTCTTTCTGATTCTCACTGGCTTCTGACCTTTCAGGTTGGCTTAGTTTCCTTCATTGTTGAGACCTTGCAGCTCCGTCATTCTTCGCTTTCAGGATAACGTAATCTTGATTCCCGCTGTTTTGCATGTTTGTCACTATCTTGCGTCGCACCGTTGGTGGGATGAGGCACACACAAGCTCTGTTGCAACTACCTTCTGATGCTCTTACACCGTCATCACCCTGTGCGACCACCGCTTTACTGCCCACCTTCAAGTTTCCGCCTCCCTCACGAAGCTTGCAGGTTCTTCTCGTGTGCTTGTTGTTTCTGGCTCTATTTGCAAGTCCGACCTGGTTCTGTGAGAGACTGCGACGGAAAACGGTGCCGATTTGGAGCCTTCCGGCGGCGAGTTGCAGGCCTTTCGTTCTGGAAAGAAAGATGCCACGTGAACTGTTCACTCCTGTCTTGCGTTAAGACAGCGAGCAAGAATCACAAGATGGTTGTTGTGCGACATGGCCTTGCTATTGAGCAAAGGCCAGTTCACCTGATTGCCCGAGGCAATAGAAGTGGGTAAAATAGCAATCCACGCCTCTACTACTACGTATACGGGAGGGCTACATACTGCCTTTCATTTTGTTGTTGTTTGCTTCTTGCCAGAGCCGGTTTGTGTAGGTGGACCGCCTGCTCCTGAAGGAGATGCTGAAGTCTTGGTATGCGCTGCCCGAACCCTCGGGGGAGCGTGGACCTGTGCCGTTAGGATGATAATCAGCTCTACCTTGAGGGCGAATCCGTTTCTGTTGAATCTTTCAGCTGAAGCATGGCATGCGAAAAGAAAACAAAGAAAGCGTGCCCTCGTGGCGCTGCCAGGTTCCGAGTTGAAAGCGGTTTGCTCCTCATCCAATCCAGGCTTCAGTCTGACCCGGCAGTTCTGTTAATGAGGACCGAATTTGCGATTTGTCTTGTGAAAACGAACATTTTGGCCGAAATATCGAAAGCTGGCTGTCAAAATCCACGATGTTTGGTGTTTGCCCCAGTGGGAGACCCCTCGGAGTTCTTATTCTGAAAGTTAACTGTCCTGTCACCCAAGGCTCCGAACCACAGTGTCGAGCCAATCCCACCAGCAGGTTAAAGCATCGGATGAGGAATACTTGTATTCGGGCTGTGTGAGCCAACCAACTAGAAAGCCCCATTCCATTTGACAAGCAAAGGGGCATCCAAGTCATCTGAGGAACTCCGAGCCAGGGTGTGCTGCCATTGCACCATGGGCCTTTTCACTATTTTGTAGACACACCTCTGCAGCACGTCTTTCAAGAGGAAATGGCTCGTTGCCCCGGTGAAATGTCCCACATGGGTTTCGAAGGCAACCGTCCACCTTTCATTCGCAATCAGTTGACAAGGCCAATCCATTTTTTGGCTTCGACCCCACGGGCTCACTGCGCTTGCACCACTTGGCTGAAGTCACTGAAGTTATGTTTGGAGCCAAAGGAGATCCAACTCCAAAGTTGTCCAATGCCAAGGAAACTCGAACCACCGCGCTCGCCCAGGGTCACAGAGCCAGGGCCTGCCAGAAGGAGCTCCGTGCACTTGCAGGAGGCATGGGGGCTTCGGTCTGGTACCCGCTGTTTGGAACACGTTTGGCGATGTGTTTTTTGGCTTAAATAGCTGCTTCGCCAAAAGGAATGACTACCAAAGATTATTCGCACTGCCGAAAGTATGATTACGAAACATGACCGGCAAACATGCCCTGCCTATAGAGTGTGGCAGAGATGATGACGACTGCGCAACTGGATGATCGTCTGCGCTACTGCCTTGGCAGTGGTCACCAAATTGCGTCAGCCACCCATACTCCAGCCGGTTTCAGTCAAGCCGTTTTGAGCTGCTGGTTTAAGCATCATTGACAATTACTAGTTCTGAGTAGATGCTTTGTAGAAGTGTGTTTGACTCAATGCAGTGCCATGCTTTGTGCCGGGACTTGTGTTTAACCAGGTGGCCTGGAATCTCCAAATCGACCTGACACGGCTCATGATGGGACGGGTCAGATGAACTGCATCGTTACGGTGGTTGATGATGCTGATGATACTTAATAACGCGCAGAAGTGGGTAGCCCATGGGTTCAATTACTTGTGTCAGATTATGATGAGGCTGTCCACAGCGTGTAGGTTGCAAAACTAATGAGTCAAAGACATATGCCATGACTAAATCCTGTCAGAAATGTATTTCGCCAGAAGGGCTCTGGGTTCATTTGGTGTACAAAGCCGTTAGCACCTGTTGGCAATGCTCTTGAGCATGCTTTGCCGGCTGTGAGGTTGGGAGTCTTTGGGACTGGGAAACTTGAGACATGGAAAGCTGCTTGGTTCCATTCCCGGGCAACGAAGAGTTGACTAGAACACTAGAACTAAAGCTTGTCAAGCCCAGACCCACGGTGACCAGTCAAGCAAACACCGGAAATGTTCCCTCCCCAAACGCTCCCAAAAAGTAGACCCGAAAGGACAGCGCCCCCCAACGACAGGGCTGGAATGGGTTGCACGTGGAGACTTGGGCTAGGTGGAAGCAAAGAAGGAAGAGCATCAGAGCTTGGCGCTGGCCTTGGTTGAAAAGCTGGCGGTGTGCCAAGAAGGGACTGGCCTTGGGCAATTGTTGGAATGGTTGAAAGTGTATCGGAGATGTTCATGAGTTAAGCTAGCGTTGCCAATTGTGGACGGGAAACATTCAGAGTCACATCAAGTCCTACAGCAGCATTAGGAATGGGGGCACCGAGTTCGAGGGTCATCTTCGACAGAGGGGTTCGATACCTCCAACAGCCGGTGTTTTTTCTCGAAGATTAGCCACGCAACTGAAGCATACGTC